GACCTACACATGTACAGGCTTTTTTGAAGCCTCTGTTTCCACATAAATATTCTATATTTGGGTCCCAGTAATATTACAATTAAATTTCAAAAACGTTCTCTGCTTCCTGAAAACAATTATTGTTAGTATCTATCAAAGGAATTTATTTTTTAATGGAATTTTGAACACTACCAGAGTTTTATTATTATAGGAGTATGCACTATACACTAAGCCTGTGCTGCATTCATGGTTGGCTACATTTTAGTTGATGCACTTAGGAGCAGAGGTGGATGTTAAACTTTGATCTTTCTCTGGTTTGTGGTCTCTCCAAACCTTTTGCTTTTGGCTTCCCAAAGAAAAAATGAAGCAGCTTAACAATTTTTTTAACAAGCAGCTTCCTGATGTAGACACTTAAAATTGGTCCCTTTAATATTTAAAATTCAAGTCATCTGTCATAGTTGGGCCTCAGTTTCTTCTGTCATATTAAGTATTCTCTGGAGCTGCTTCTATTACATTCATCCATAAGCATACTTATTAAAGTCTTACTAAACTTATCCTTAGCACTGGGGGGGGAGGGGGGGGGAGAGAGGGTTTAAATGCCCTAACCTTTGCCCTAAAAAAGCTAAAGGCCAAAACAAAAAATAATAATAAGCTAATGGCATGCACTGGGAGTGGAGGAATAGTGCTTTCAGTATAATTATATGACTTATTGATTGAATGAATGGTCAGCTGAGAAATTCCAAGCCTTAGAAAGTGGTGACCAGGAGATACACATCTAATAGAGACCTGTGAAAATTTCCATCAGCATTTTCTCAAATGCAGACAGAGTTCAATTAGGTATTCAGAGCTATGGGCAAAAAAAACTACCTGGAATCTAGAAGTATTCTGCCATATAACTAGAATATGAACTTTCTATTCCACAAAGGTGGGGGTGGGGGTTTGTAAGAGACCATAAGACACTGTTGTGGTTTTTTTGTTTGTTTGTTTGTTTTTGTTTTTCAAACTCTGGGTTGTTAATATATATATATATATATATATATATATATATATATATATATATATATATATATTTTTTTTTTTTTTTTTTTTTTAAGCAGGGAGGCAGCCATAGCCGGTTTGGTTTAGTGGACAGAGCTATGGCCTATGGACTGAATGGTCCTGGGTTCAGTTCTATAATAGTCAAGGGCATGTACCTCAGTTGCAGGCACCTCCCTGGCCTGGGTCCTGGTCAGGGGTCTTGCAAGAGGCAACCAATCGATAAGTTTCTCTCACATCAATATTTCTCTGTCTTTCCCTCTCTCTCCCACTCTTTCTAAAAATCAATAGAGAAATATTCTCCGGTGAGGATTTCTTAAAATAATAAAAAAAGGGAGAGTAGGAAGATGAGTAATTTTTCTTGAAGATTTGTTTCAGTTAACATTATTGGTTGATATTCAACTAATACATATTGATATGGCTCTAAAAGCTGTCTAAGTCCTGGCTGGTCCTCCTCTCCCCAAGGCCAACGTTGTCTGCTCGCCCTCTGGAGCTCTCCTCCCAGCTACTGCAAGGGAAAGGCGTGGCAGGGGCCTCTAGGGTACCCTCTTAGAGCTGAGGCAGTGTTGGATCTTAGTGGTCAGTGCTCAACGTTGTTAAATATTTTTAATAAAAAGGCTCATTTCTTCTGTTTATGTATATACACTAGGTCACGAGATAAAATATATTTATTCTTGTGGATCATCATAAAAAATTGAAAGCACTGTTCTATGAAAAATAGGAATGTAGAAAGAAATCTTTTTCAACAAACTGCTTCCTCTGGGAAAAAAAAACAAACAAAACAAAAACACCCTCACTGGTCTGAGGCTGAGAATTTTGTTGCTTTATATGTATACTTACTCTTAGAGCTAAGACACTGGATTTTCCTTTACCATGGTGATATCAACCTTTTAAATTATTTGGGTCAGGAATAAAAGTAAATTGGTTTGAAGAATAACATTAAGTCAATCATAACGTAGATGGTACATAGCTTAAATTAGGAAGGTGGCATAAGAATGATTATAATTTTGGAGCTCTTTCATCTAGCTAAACTTTCTATTATATAGATATGGTGCCTGAGAAATTATTAATTTTAGGTCGTCACCTGTCCCAGGTCTCATGGCTCAGCCAGGGATCAGAAGCTTTGGCCCACCCTAAAAATCAGGGCTTATAATTTTTTTTTCAGGGCTTATTAACTAACTATTGAAAGGTAGCAGAATATGCCACTTAGGCACATTGATTATTTTTAGCTGTAGGCACTTGAAAAACAGCAAATGCAGGCTTTCTCTCAACTCCTCTTATCTGCCTAAAGATAGACCCTCCAAAAGGAACTCATTTGTCATAAATGCCTCTCTGGGAGTTTCATCAACCATGGGAGACTGACTCTTATCAAAGGAGAAGAGACCAGAAGTCTATACCAATCCAGACAACTTTGTCACAAATTACCACTATTCCCATCTATTTTGCTACAGGCCCATTCATTTTTCCTAAAAATTATTTTCTCCCTCCAAGAGGCATATATCCCCATCTCTAACTTTTCCTATTAAAATGATATTAAACCCAAGTTTTAAGCTACCATGGGGAATTACCCATTTTTCCACTTATCTCAAGATAAGAGATATGCAATTTTATTAACATACATAAGGTATACACGTTAATAAAATTGCATTTTCTTGTTATTCTTTTATTACAGGAGTCTCAGCTAAAAGGGTAGAGAAAAATTTTCTTCCCTTAAACTCTGTTTCACAAATACCAGTATTACCTGTTAAGTGAAGGGTGCAGCATATTTAGGACACTTTGCAGATCCATACTGAATGGATAAGCATTCTTTTTTAACCCATGGTTCAGAGCTAGTGGCATTGCCCCTCTGAGTCAGGTTTTGTAAGGTAAGCTATATTCATAACACTGCAAAATGTCCTCCTTCCTTCATCATAGTGAATTGGGGAGAAAACGACCCGAGGATAGATAGTATGTCTGTAAATGCAGTAAGTATTTTTGAGCTTTCTGCACTGTACTGGCAGGATAGCAGGTTTTCCAAGGATCTTCTTCAGCTCATTGTTTAAAGAAAGCGTAGACAATAGTATCTAATTCTTTATTCGAATTGCTTTGTCTTGCTGCACTGCTGGCTTTGTCATCAGCGGATGTTGCAATTAGTTTAACAAGCAAAGGAAATGCCAGTCAAGTGCAGCAGCACCTGGGATCTTGTCACCCTAGCTACATGGCAGGCCTTAGGCAGGAGACAAGAACGCTCAAAGCTGTGTGTGCAGCCCAGGTAAAAAGGGAGAAGGTGGCAGTGAGCCTGCGTGTGCAAGGGCCCCTGACTCCCATGGCCAATGTTGATTCACTTCCTCCTCTGATGAGACACTTAACCAGGCGCTTATTATACCCCATGGCATCATCCTGATTTCAGGACTTGGGAGGAAAGCTGGGGCCTGGAGACGGCTCAAGTGCATTTGACAATAAAATGCTTTGTGCGTCAGATGTAAATTCCGCCCGCCCAGAAGCTTGGGCTGAACGGTGACCGGTGCTGACCCAAATAGAGCTGGGGGAGGGAGGGTTTCACTTGGTTGGTGGGCTCACCAGCATCACAAGATTCTCTTTAGGGCTCCTCGGCAAAACACGATGCAGCGTTAGGAGGGCCCCTGCTCCAGCAGTCAGCCAGAGAACAAATAAAATGGAAGATCCTTCTCTGTGGGAAAGCAAGGCCCCGGATTCGAAGCGGGGGGCCTCCCGGAGGGAGGTGAGCAAAGAAAGGAAAGGCGAACGCATCTCTCCGAGAAAACCGGGTTCATTCAAACCCGGAGGCCAGCAAACCCCGCCTCCCCATGCCGCCGCCCGCTCAATCGCCGAGCGCTCCGGGTGTGAGCTCGCCCCGCGGGGAGCGGCTTGGGAGCCGAGGAGGCGGTGGCAGAGGTGGTTTGGGCAGGCCCGCGCGGCGGATAGGCCCAGGCAAACAACACCCATTCCCCCCTCCTCTCCCGGCTCAACTCCCACTCGGCCAGGGCCACGCCCTGCCGCCACCGCCCCCTCGGGCAGCTTTCCGCTCGGCTGCGCGGCCTCGGTCGGGGGCGGGAGAGAAGGCGGTGCCAGGGAGGGGCTGCCGCGGCAGCCGGAAACTACAAGGGCCAGCAGCCTTTGCGGCATCTCCCCGCCCCCTTTCTTCCACCACTCAGCGCGCGTCACCGGGGGCTCAGCCAATGGGGACCGGGCCAGGGAAAAAGGGCGCCCGGGTCCGGATGCGCCTCGGGAAAGGCATGCTCCCTGCGCCGGGGCAGCGGCCAGTTCACGCGGCGCGCCCAGCCGTCCGCGGCCGCTGCGCCCCTGCGCGCTCCCCTCCCGCCCCCCCTGAAGCGACAAGCCCTGCTCCTTTCTCTGGTGGCCATTTCCGAGCGATGCCGGAGCGGGGTTTTGAGGGGAGGGCGCCGGGGAATGAGTAGGGGGCGGGATATCCTGAGACAACAAGTTCGGCTGCATGGAGGGCCTACCGGCCGCGCGCCCGCGCTAGGACGCCGAGAGAAAGAGCGCCGAGGAGCCGCGGCGGGAGCGGAAAAGCCGCGAAAAGAATAACCCCGAGAAAAGGGGTGGAGAGGAGGCGGCCCCGGCGCCCCGGCCCCCGGCAGGTCGGCGGCCAATCCGCTGGGGGAAGGGGTGGAGAGTCGGCGGCTGCGGCGGAGAGGAGGCCGAGGGGGGTGGGGAGTCGGCCCGGCTCGCGCCGCCCTGGCCCCGCCCCCTGGCCCGCGCTGCCGCCCGCGCCGCGCGCCGCCGCTGTCAATCAAGGGCGAGTCGGCCGGGCTCGGGCGGAGAGAGGAGCTGCTACGCCACAGCCCAGCGGCGGCCATTCGCGGAAAAAGAGGCAGAGCCTGTGCCAGCTACAGCCTCCTCCGAGCCACCGCGGGCGGGCGGGCGGGCGGGCGGGACCGGCCTCTCCTCCCGCCTCGCCCCCACCCCCACCCCCACCCACCTCCGTCCCAGCGTCTCCGTCGGAGGGTTTGTCCTGTTAATGCGGGATGAGCGGTACGTATTCTCCACCCCCCTCGGTCTCCTTCGCCGCCTCCCTCCGTCCCTCCCTCTCCCTCCGGCTCCAGACCCTGCTCGGTCCTTCTCCCCCCCCTCCCCCGGGGCTGCTGAGATGCTGAAAGGGGAGGAGGCGAGGGCGGGAGAGAAGCAGGGGGAGGGAGGGAAGGAGGGCTGTGTTTTTGTCTTCATGTCTGAGCGAGAACAACCTCCTTTTGGGTGTCGCTCTGGAGCCCATGGGTCGGGTTTCAGACCACGTTTTGTGATGTCCCCCTCCTCCCTGCCCTCCTCCTCCCCCACCCCCCGCCGGGGTGCGTGGACCGCGGGCTTATGGAGATTAATGCTCGGAGGGGAGGGAGAGGAGGGGCGAGGGGGAAGACGAATAATAATAATAATCATCCTGGTAACCTGTTGTCGTGTCTCTGTGTGTGTGGGGTGTGTGTGTGTGTGTGTGTGTGTGTGTGTGTGTTGGGGGGGTTTGTTGCAGATCAGAAGAAGGAGGAGGAGGAGGAGGCGGCGGCAGCGGCGATGGCTACAGAAGGAGGGAAAACCTCTGAGCCGGAGAATAACAATAAAAAAACCAAAACCTCAGGCTCCCAGGTAAAAGAAAACATATTAAAAAAATTCATCACGAAACGTAAGGGGAAAGAGGGAGCTATGCCCTTTAAATGCCCAGAAGTTAAGAACAGAATAAAAATGTTTATCCGCTCAAAGCATCTTTTTTTTTTTTTTTTTGAGAGTTGAGGAAGTTATATGGTAAATTTGTAAAGATTTTACGTTTGAAGGTAACGTTGGTTAAAATTACACTAGGAACTCAGGCTATTAAACCGGTGTGTATTTTTCCCCAAGGACATTTTGAGTTTAGGAGAACACTTTTAAGGAAAGTTTGTTAAGACATTTTCTTTTATTTAAACTTTATATTACAGGATCAGCTTCCTTATTCCTACATCCTACTGATTTTGTTAATATTTCTTTTTTTATTTCTGCCCCTTCCTAAGTTCTTAAATGTAGAGCTGTCAAAATAAATAAGCCCCTCCCAACTACTGGCCTCCACTAAATCCGCCCACTTTTTTTCCCTCCCCCTCTCCTTTACCATCCCCTTTTGGGTAGGACTCTCAGCCCTCTCCTCTGGCTTTACTGGCAGCTACTTGCAGCAAAATAGGGACTCCTGGTGAAAATCAAGCAACTGGACAACAACAAATTATTATAGATCCAAGCCAAGGATTGGTGCAACTTCAAAATCAACCACAACAGCTAGAACTGGTAACGACACAACTTGCTGGAAACGCTTGGCAACTTGTTGCCTCCACTCCTCCTGCTTCAAAGGAAAATAACAATTCTCAGCCAGCTTCTAGTTCATCTAGTTCTTCCAGCAGTAATAACGGGAGTGCATCTCCTACAAAAACTAAATCAGGTAATTCTACCACCCCTGGTCAATTTCAAGTCATCCAAGTACAAAATCCAGGTGGTAGTGTCCAGTACCAAGTGATTCCACAACTTCAGACTGTGGAAGGCCAGCAAATTCAGATCAACCCAACTAGTAGTTCATCTCTACAGGATTTGCAGGGTCAAATTCAGCTCATTTCTGCAGGTAATAATCAAGCTATCCTCACGGCTGCTAACAGGACAGCTTCTGGGAATATTCTTGCTCAAAACCTGGCAAATCAGACCGTTCCAGTCCAAATCCGACCTGGTGTTTCAATACCACTGCAGTTACAGACCCTTCCTGGTACTCAGGCCCAGGTTGTAACAACCCTACCAATTAACATTGGAGGAGTGACTTTAGCTTTGCCAGTGATCAATAACGTGGCTGCAGGAGGGGGGACCGGACAGGTTGGCCAGCCTGCTACGACTACTGACAGTGGGTCTTCTAATGGGAGTCAGTTAATTTCCACACCCACCACCACCACTGCTTCTTCCAGTACTATGCCAGAATCCCCCTCCTCCTCCACCACCTGCACAACCACTGCTTCAACGTCGCTGACCAGCAGTGACACGCTAGTGAGCTCAGCAGATACGGGCCAGTTTGCAAGCACATCAGCCAATAATTCAGAACGCACTATTGAAGAATCTCAAACACCTGCTGCTACTGAGTCTGAAGCCCAGAGTTCCAGTCAGCTTCAGTCCAATGGGATACAGAATGCACAGGATCAGTCAAATTCTCTTCAGCAGGTGCAGATTGTAGGCCAGCCCATCTTACAGCAGATCCAGATCCAACAGCCTCAGCAGCAGATTATTCAGGCTATTCCACCACAGTCATTTCAACTCCAGTCAGGGCAGACGATTCAGACCATCCAGCAGCAGCCTTTGCAGAATGTTCAACTTCAAGCAGTAAATCCGACTCAGGTGCTTATCAGGGCTCCAACTTTAACACCTTCAGGGCAAATCAGTTGGCAAACTGTACAGGTTCAGAATATTCAGAGTCTTTCCAATTTGCAAGTTCAGAATGCTGGGTTATCCCAACAGTTAACCATCACCCCAGTGTCTTCAAGTGGTGGCACAACTCTTGCTCAGATTGCTCCTGTGGCTGTTGCTGGCACCCCAATAACTTTGAATACTGCCCAGCTTGCATCAGTGCCTAACCTTCAGACAGTGAGTGTTGCCAACCTGGGTGCGGCAGGCGTTCAAGTGCAAGGAGTTCCAGTTACAATCACTAGTGTTGCGGGTAAGTTACTACAACCTTTTCTCTTTAAGGACCTTTCATGCAGTTTTTAATAACCATCAGTTATTGCTTTTCTTTGCTAATTCCTAGATTTGATGTAGATCTCTGAAGTAACGTAATTTTAAGGAATCTAAAATGCGCAGGAATGCTATACCATCGTAACTAATCATTTGTGTGACCTTTTCACATTTGTACATTTTTAGTGTTAGGTTTTATGTGTTAAATTTGTTAAGACAGTTACATAAAATTCTTCCATGGAGCAAAACTTCCTGACCAGAATCAGTATAGTCCTCTGTAATTCAGAGACCACATTTGAGTACACTTGAACTCTTCAAAAAGAACCCTAGTCAAAGCGATGTTTTTTCTCTTCAAGGAAAGTAGGTCTAAATTTGAATTAGTATACAGTTGTGAGCCTGTTGAAGTTTTAATTCTACTTTGTAATAAGGCTTACATTTTCTTAACTTGGTAGTTACTTCCCATTTTGTTGCCCATGTTTTTGAGTTTTATTAATACAATATTGTATTAAACTAGATATTGATGCAGTTGAGAGAGAACATTTTACGTTGCAAGTTGTTTAGCTTTTGTCTATCTTTTTGCTAAAACCAGGAGTTGCTCAGGCTTTTGAGTTAATAGTCCTTCATATATAAAACTATAAGTAAATCTTTTGTGATAGTTATGTTATTTATAGGTATTTTTAGTGCTAAGTTGGTGGAATGAAATTGAAGATAGTAAAATGTAACTGACTAAAATTAATTGTAGCAGGATCATTTTAAAGCCAGTTATAAAGCAATTATTTGTTATGCATATAAATAATATTTCTGAAGTATTTGGAAAACTAGACTTAAGTATTTTAATCTTTCTGAACCAGTCTTATTTACCATTCTACCATTTGTTTTCTAATATTTAAACACTCTTCATTGTTTCTGATTTGGTGAAAACCTAGTTGTCATTTTAGTGCCTTTGATATATTAAGACCTCTTTAAATATTTGTGTTTGATAATCTGACATGAATAAGCTTTCACTTTTGAGTGGCCTGTCTTAAAACAACTTTCAGAAAAATTTTGCTAGAGTTTTGGGTTTTTTGTGTGTGTTTTTAGAGTTAATACCTAAAGTGGATGTATATATTTAAAATTTAAAATTACTGAATAGAGTTCTCTGATTCAGGAGAACAGAGATTACATAATTTATTTAGATACCATTATTTCCAAACCAGAGCTATCCAGTAGAATTTTCTGTGGTGAAGAAATGGTCTATATCTGTTATCCAGTATGTTAGCCACTAAGCCATGTGTGGCTATTCATTACTTAAAATGTGGCTATTGCAACTGAGGAACTAAATTTTAAATTTTATTTATTTTTAATTTAAATAGTTATGTGTGGCTAGTAGTTTCTGTGTTGACATGGAGTATTTTGAATGCGGTATTTTTCCCCCTAAAACTATTATAGCACTGTTATATAAGAGCTTCCCTTGATTACACTCCTTAACTTGCTTTGTTCTGAATCTTTGTCTGAATATTGACAATCACTTAATATTTCAGAAAAGTGTCTGTTTTGGTGGATTGAATGATAGTTTCCATTATCAAAGCAAAAATTATTTTACTTATATTTTGACTTGTCTATTAAGCATTAGTGAAATTTTAAAAGAATCGAGTGACTTAGTTTAATTTAGATATAATCAGTTTTGTTCTTTAATTATTATCATTTATAACCCAGAATTTGCCCATTGTGAGGGTAAGCCAATACTACCTGAGAGTGTGATCTGACCATCTGAGATTCACTTGATGTATTATTATAAATGCAGGATCCAGCTTCTGGAACTGCAATTTTGGGGAAGTGGTCAAGGGATTTGCCTTTCCAACAGACTTTCTAGGTGATTCTAAATCATATTGAAATTTGAGAAACAAAGTTCTAGTCATTAGCAATGAACCAGAAGGCAAAATGTGGAAGCAAGTGGCTGTCAAGTGAGTTCATATGTGTGTGCCTCAGAGAATGGATTTTGAGGGCAAATAAAACTTACAGTTTTTATTTCATAAATATTTATTGACTGGCTGTGTGCTGAGTACTTCCAGTAGTTGTGTTTAGTCCATCATTTTTCTGGTATACCTTTTTTTTTTTTTTTTAAGAGTTTACATGGTGTGTGGGGAACTTAAATATGAGGAAATTTGAATTTTACATAGTTGGATTTCTTTTTCTCCTGAAACCAAAGATCTTAAATTTTGTTGTTGTTGTTGTTGAAGAGTGTATGTTCTAATAGATATGCTCAATCATTTTAACACGATAGCCATGCTACTAAGATCAGAAAATGTACTCTGATTTCTACAAGTCATTGCAGTTCATCTGGGCCTAGTTGTTTGCAGATTTACCTTTCTAACACAGTAGGGCTTGACAAATGTTTGCTGAATTAAGGTATAGAAGATGATGGAGAAGATTGCAATTTGTAATTGGGAGCAGTGCCTTGGTGTAGTTTTAATGGAGCTAATGAAATAGCTTTGATTTCATTCATTTCTTTTGGCTTTGAGTTTTAAAGACATTAAAAGGGGACACGAGGTACTTTACTGTCTGTAGAAGGGCGAGCATGAGCAATAAGTGGCTATATATTCCTTTTATAAATGAGCCCTGGAAGTTAGATCCTTTACTTTGTGTTCCCATTCACCTTTTAGTATTTTTTTATTATTTCATGCCCTCCTGCCCCCAGGAGAATGGTATTGTTTAGTTTTGTTTAATTTATGGGGGGAAATTAAACAAATATTCATGACATAGTAATAGTACAGGGCTTGAAAATATTAGTGTCAGTTTTGAATGTAATGGCTAGCTCAAGAACAAGGGACTGAAAGTTTTCTACCATCCACCCTCATGTTACTCTTCAAGTAGTAGGGAAGGGACTGCATGATATGGGCAGAAAAAGAAAAAAATTATACAAGGTAAATTGAAGGAAACAATTCTTGAAGCTGGGGAGCTTAATACTCTATTTTATGAAACAAGACTGATAATGACAACCTACATGGAACCTTTTTCCTTAATAATGTATTCAGCAGAATATGTTTCTGTGTTTTGGGCTCAGCTTGAAATCCTGAGTTCCAGGCTGAGCATCTAGCATTTAGTTAGTTAGACTTGTAGTAGGAACTAAATACATGTCTCCCCTACATACTATTATTTGTTTCCTTGACATTATGAATTTGACTTTGACTAAAGGAAAGGCAGAAATCCTATTTTAAGAGCAAAGGTAACAACCAATCGTACTGCTTGCTGTTGGTTTAAGAACATCCTTTGTTTTAACTAAGTGAGCAAAGTGGAAGATGCTTTGCTGATAAAGAACTGTCTGTTTTCACAATGTACTGTGGTAGCCAAAGAGTCCTAGATAAAGCAAACTTTAGCAGTTACATCTCCTTGAAGAATGTAGAATATGGGGGGACCATTGGTATTTAAATCTGTAATTAATGTGCATTGGATAGCAATTTGATTGGGGGAACTGTAATCATCATATATAGTAACAGGTCATACTTTTGCTGAATGGGTGGATATTTATCAATTTTAATGACAGTTAAGGTTTTTATGGTAATTCTCACAGAAAGAAAGTTCATACTTGAGGAAAGTATGTTAGCATTTCAAGAACTTGACTCTCTTTACCTTCCTTTACTTTTGGAGGGATTTAAATTATGAAACCTGTGGATGTGGCAGAACCAGGAATGGGAGGGCCAGTTTTTCATTTATTGCTGAAAATGGGAACAAAGAAAATAATTGACATTTATATTAAACTAAAAGCCTAACTTAATCAACCTCTTACATGAAACATCTTCCCAGAGGTATTTAAAGTAGAAAATTGACTTGAAGTTTAATACAGTATGGTTTTCCTTTGCCAAATGTATTGATTTGGATTTTCCTAGTAGGCATCTTAATATAACATGTACATATATGTTATATAAATATACACACATATATACATATACATGTATACAGGGTGTCCCCAAAAAATGTATACACACTTGAATACCATTATTAATTCCAATGGTTTAAAACTGAAATGGAAGAAACATCAATTGAGCTGTTAAAGTGTGTATATATTTTTGGGGGACACACACATGCCTCTGTGGGTGGTGGTTATTTTGTTTTTAAGAGAAGTCAGGTTTACTCCTTTAATCTTCTCTGAAATCTTCTAATTCTGTTCATTATAGATTGGAATTCATTATGAGGAACTTCTGACTTGTACCCTGTACAAGTGACTTAGGTTCTAAACTACCAAGTTGGACCTTTAAGGTTTGTTGATGCTGCCAAACAGTATCCTTGCCTATTTTTAAGCTTTTAATAAAAGATTTTTTAAAAAGTACTGTGTAGAGCCACATTAATTTTTTAAAATGGAATCTTTGAAAAGGATTTTAGATTAGAGAAACAGTGGAAAACAGAGTCTTAATCATCTGCTTTTGAAACCCAAATCAGATAATATATAACAAGTAGTAAGGAATATTGGAGCAGACAAAGAAAGGTGAAGAGGAAAAAAGAAAAGGAAGCTTAAGCTTGGTACAAAAGGAAGATAGGGACAAGTTGCTATATGTAGATTTTGTAGAAATAACAGATATACAAAGTGGTAATTTATTTTGAAAGGATCTTTGAGATTATTTCTCACTAGTTGTAGCCTTTTGGCATTGCTGAAGTCTATAAAGGAATTTTGTGTTTTTACTGTTATGAGTGAAAGCAGAAATATGTGTGAGAGGTCCTGCAGTGCTACATGAAGTAGTGTAGGGAAGACATAATAAGGATTGAGAGTGAAAGGGAAACCTGGCCTGATACCAGACCATGTGTACATGTAGGTACTTCTGTATTCTTCTGATCTAGGTATGAGATGTGATTGAATGTTTGTAATGCTTGTATTTTACTACCTAGTGAATGAGCAAATTGTGGCAAAGGGAGCCTGTTGGACCACAAATTGGCTTATAGAAGTACTAGAGGCCCAGTGCACGAAAAATTTGTGCACTGTGGGGGGTCCCCTCAGCCAGGCCTGCCTCTCAC